TACAGTCCAAGACAGGTCTTGCAGGCGCAGACAACAGGACCCCCACAGTTAGGTCCATCTTGGGGTCCTTGGGCACCCCAGCCCACCTCCTGGGGTCAGAGCCCTCTCTGCCTTCCAGCCACCTCACCAGCCAGCTTCCCAGACTCTGCCTTCAGCGACCCCTCCCACAGCCTTTGTTCAGTCTCTGGGGCAAAGGTGTCACCTGGTCCCAGCCCCCTCCTGGGTTCTCATGTTACAGGCTCAGGTATTTCCAGTCAGTCTCCCATCCCCCAATGCCGGCTATCCCAGCCACACTCCCCTGTCAGCACTCACAGACCACAGTAAGAACAGACCCAGTTCGTCAGACTTACTAGGCGTGGCCTTTAGACTAAAATCTTTGTCTTGCAAGAATGGTAATTATTCAGGTATGAAAATTAAGTAAACTTTAAAAAAGGGTTTGTTTCTTCAGGGTCTTATATCTTCAAAGTGTGTGCGGTGGGGAAAAACAGATTCCTTATTCCTGGTAAAATGTGTTAACTCTTTTACATGAGCTGCTTCTTCTCTTAAGTTATCCTACGGGAGTTTTGTAGAATTTCTTTACAGAAGTATTCCTTTCTGGCATAACTTTAAAAAACAAGCTGGCATATTTTTGTGAGAAATAGAACATCTTTATATTCACTGTTAGCAAAAATTTTTTAAAAGGGTTTGTTTCCCCTTGATAAAACTTACAGCTAAAGTCAATTTCCAGTCAATGAAATAAGAAAGCTCGATATAACTTTTATTGTCAATGATGGGGATATACATTCATTGTTTCTCATGTTTTGTAAAAATCTAAACTTTAAAGAGCAACGTGATGTATTTTTTGAGAGAAGTAGAACATCTGTTAGCAAAAGAATTAAGAAAATGGCTTATCTTCAAACCAGTCAGAAGGGAGGGAGGGCAAGAGGAGGTGGCTCTTGTTTTAAAACGTTGGTATGTTATGATTGGTTCAGGAAGAATGCATTTTATGACGTAGCTGTAGAACAGCTTCTGATTGGTCCACCCAAGAGGCTTGGTTTGCTTCCAAGGCTCATCTATCATTTCACTAGGGGCAGCTGCTAGGGGTAAACTGTTCTGCTCTCTCTCTCAGCCAGCCATGTGCTGTCTTTTCTCTGCTTTAAAATCTCTTTGCCCTGCAATAACTAAACTTTCTCTCGACCTAACAAAGAAATCTTTATTTTCTTTATTTTTTTTAAATTTGTTTTCTTTAATTTCTCTCAAAACGCAGCCAAACATGTCAAAACACATTCACAGAAGTACCCCCTGACATTCCCCAATACAAAAATAAATAAATAAAAATTTCAAAATGGCCGACAGTGCCAAAAGTGTACATGACCAGAAACAGGACAGGAGATCGGGACGTAAACCATAAAAAGGGCATGGAAGCCTGTCAAAAATACATGGTGATGAGTGCTATTGAGTGGTTCACTACTCATGGCGCAGGAGGCCAAACACACACCCACACTGGGGCGTTCCACACGCAAAGCATGCAACAAACACCTGATGCATGTATGTCAGTGTTTCACGCCATAACTGACCCAGCGTCGGAGTTTAGAACCTGTTTTCAAGGGGTCTTTTCACTGCGTGAATCGCATGAAACCATAGCATGGTAGAGCCTAGGACCCCAGTCCTGGACCAAGACCCATCTTGCTAGGCGCTGTACAAACCCAGAATGGAAAGACACTCAGCCCCCACACAGATCATCAGTAATGTTTGAACCCCTTACACTTTAGCTCCCTAACTTAGGCCCTTATTAGCTGAGCTCAGCGAGTAATAACTAGCACCTTCCTACACCAGCAACGGGAGAAGGACTTGACAAATGTCTCACTGGGTTACACTATTCACTTGTCAGCAGCAAAATATAGATAACCAGGAATCTCGGATTCTGCCCGTGGCTCTGGTTGCAGGGGCTGGGCAGGGCGCCGGGTGTCTAAGCTGTCAGGGCGGGTGCTAGGCAGAGGATCTGCACCACAAGAGTGTGCCTGGGAACCCAAAGACAGGGACAAAGTCTGGGCTTTCTTCATACTCAGGATCCAGTGGCTGGGTCCCCTCACAGCAATCTGGTGAGTGGCCAAGGGGGGGTGCTCAACTGTCACACACTGCCAGGCTTTCCCCTAAGGGAGCGGGGGGCACTCACCCAGGGCTGTGAGGCAGGGGGAGGAGTCAGGTCTCTGCTGATGAAGGCTGGTGCCAGCTTAACTCTTTTTTGGGCTGTGCAAGGGGGAGCACTGCGGTCTGGGGTCCCCGCTGGCCAGGGCTGTGTGTGCAGGGAGGGGTTGGGGCTAGGTTGGTTTTTCACCCCCCTTGGAGTGAGGAAATGGAGGGGGGTTGAGCAGACAGGGCCAGATCCCAGCTGGTGTGATCGGAGTCACCCCCTTGATTTCAGCACCAGTGGGGGGGGGGTCTAGCCCATAATAGTCACTCCCCTCACGCCGATCCCAGGGCAGTGACATGAGCTTGGCACAGTTGCGGGAGTTACTTCACACACCCCCCCCCCGGAAATAAACCCCTGAGAATCATTTCCCCGAAGGATTCATACCCAAAATAACCTGAGAGAGAAAGACCAATGGACCCTTAGGCTCAGGGCCCAAACACCACACGCCACCCACAGACATGGCCTCACTAAGGAGAGTCCATGGGCCAAAAGCGAGGCCAGAGTCAATGGCCCCGCTCCCTTGGAGTCAATGGGGCCAGACACCAGTGTCCTGGGAGGTTTGATGGCACTGTATGATCTACACTTCCCTGGGCTTTCCATGATCAAATATAAGGAGCACAATGAGGTCAGAGTGGGCACCGTGTGCCCGTGTGTTGTTTGCTTCACACCGGCTGCGCACCCTGAGGGCATTAAACTGGAAACAGCAGTTTCATGCTGGGGGGGCAGTATGGGGAGGGGAGCATGCTGTACCCAGGGGCTGGGCGGATGGCTGGGTTCCCATGCCCAGAGGGAGGTGCCGGGAGGAAGGGCTGCACCCCGAGGGGTGTCTGGATCCCAAGGTTGGTGCAGTGGATGCCCTCCAGTCAGGCTCCAGGAGCTTGCAATATCCCTGGGGTGCGACGCACAGAGACTTAGGTCCTCTCATCTGCTGGATGGCTGGGGAGGATGCTGGCTGGGCCCTGTGACAGATGCCCTGCCACCATTCCCCAGGGCGCTGGCTGACTGCGGAGGGGCAGGAAATGGTCCCCCTGCTTCTAGCCACCAGCCCTTCTCCCAGGGGTGACGGGGCTGCGGGAGGGGCAGGGATGCAGCTGGCCCAGAGCTCCACTGATCCCAGCCCAGCAGTCCCAGTGTTACCTGCTCCCCGGTGTCCAGAGGGGATGCTACTGGCTAGGACCCACAGCCAGAGCAGGTGCCTGATCTGCACCCTCAGCTCACTCCGCGTGGGGACGTGGTTGCGGGAGAAGAGGCTCTTTCACGTCATGGGGACGACCAGTGGTGCCTCCCGGGGCAGCAACAATGACGCGGACTGTGTGTTTGAGACAATCTTCCACCACGAGCCCCCCCCCCCCCGTCCTACTCCTGCCCCATGGAAACCCTGCTGAGTCCCCCTGCCCCTCACCTCTCTACTGGACACAGGTGAACAGGGCATTAGCCCCACCCTGGTTCCAACAGTGCACTCAGATAATTCCCAAATCCTGCTCCCATAACCCTTGCCCAGGACGTGCCCTCAGCTTTCTCCACCACACGCCGCCCGGGGCACACTCAGCACCCAGGAACCGCAGGTGAAAGGTCCCATTGGTGCTGCCTGGCTAAAGCGCTGACATGTTGTTCAGTCTAACCCAGCCCGTCAGCCAAATCCAAGCAACGAGCAAGCGGGGTCGGCACCTTCCTCTGCTCTCACTTCCCCAAACTCCAGGGAAAATTGGGCCCCTCGCTGTTTGGATTCAGCTGATTCAGCTTCCTCGGAAATCTGGGCCCTATGACACCCACTTAACCCCCTAACAGCACTAGTCAGGGTGCGCGCTCCTCAGGCCAGAGATTGTCTCTCACCCTGTGTCTGGGCAGCGCCTGGTGTGACGGGGACCTCTGGCCAGTTCACCCCAAGGGGCAGATGGTCTGGGCTGGTCTTGGCCTGGTGCTGGTTGGCTGCTGGCCCCAGCCCTCCCCCACCCACCTGAGAGTCTATTCACCTCAGCTGCACTCCCCACCAGCTCCTTGCCCCACCAGCCCTGCCCTCTTGCCACCCAAGGCCCCGCACGGTTCCTCAGGCCTGTAGCCTCCATAATGCCAAGCCTGGGCCGTCAGCACCAGTGTCCTGTCTCTCCCCAGGGCCCCCTGCAGCGCAGCCAGGCCAGCTCGGGAACTGGGTCTGTGTTCAGGGCAGGAGCCGAGCTCTGCAGCAAACCACAGACACCCTGGCCCCAGAGCGCCCCCCTCTGGCCCAGCCCAGCAGCTGTCATTGGCACAGCTGGAAATTGGAGGCTGCCTCACCCGCCCCCCCCCTGCTCCGCCCCCCGCCCCACAGGGTCAGTGGGGCCAGGGGAGGGGCTGGGCGAACAGTATAAAGAGGAGCTGGGAGGGACTCAGCTGAAAGCCCGTCGCTGGACATCTGGTGTGAGTATCTGTCAGTGAGTGACGGCACCCCCTGATCCTGCCCATGGAAATCATGGTGAGTCCCCCCCACCTCTTTCTGCCCCATGGAAACCCTGGTGAGTCCCTCCCACCTCCTCCTACCCCATGGAAACCCTGGTGAGTCCCCGCTCCACCTCTTCGTGCCCCATAGAGACCCTTGTGAGTCCCCCTTGTCCCCCCACCTCCTGGCCCATGGAGCCCCAGAGGTGACCCCTCTGCCCACCTTTCCCCTGCCTCAAGTAATCCCATGTGGGTCCCCTCTGCCATTCACCTATCCCCCATCTCCCCAGCCCATCAAGCTCCAGGGGATTCTTCTCTGCCCCATCTCCTGTCGGTGGCATATCAGGGGCTAGGGGATGTGGGTCGGGGGCTCTGGATTTGTGCCCAGGGCCTGGGGGCACTGATGCTGCGGGGTCCTGTGCAGATGCCAGGATGGATGCCCAGGGCTGGACTCCTGCTACTGCCCCTTCTCCTCTGCTTCGGGCCAGAGACCGCCGGGAGCATCGACCCGGCCGCGCTCAAAGCCATCGTGGATCACGTCCACCAGTGAGTGACCGGCCTGGGGTGTGTGTGTGTTTTGGGCCTGCCCCACTCCCCTAGCCACAAAGGGAGCAGCAGGGACCCCTTGTGTCTGCTGGCATCACAGGGCTACCTAGAGCCACTGCCTCAGAACCGGTGATTCTGGGGGTGCAGGGGGGAGATGGGGTCCAGAACTGGGAGGGATGATTCTGGGGGTGCTGGGGGAGATGGATCCCAGAGCTGGGAGGGGTGATTCGGGGGGGCAGGAGGAACACGGGGCCCTAAGATGGGAGGGGTGTTTCTGGAGGTGCAGGGGGAGGATGAATGTTTGTGGGCTGTGCAGGTGTTTGCACAGTTCATGGTCATTAACTCCGTGCTCAGTGTGTGATTTCCCCTGGGCTCACGCTCCCCCTGCCCCCTCTCCTCCAGGTATCGCCCTTCCCCCCCCATCATTCAGTATGCAGTGGCCATCTCCTTGCCGCAGTCCATGTGCAACAGCATCAGCCCAAGTGAGCTGAAGGAGCACCTGCCCGTGGCCGAGCTCCAGGCGATGAAATCCAAACTGGAGACGGACATTCTGTACGAGGGGGATCACGTCGTCGCCGCCAAACCTGAGAAAAGTGGCAACCACTACCTGCACTCTGAGTGGCTGATGCTCAGCCTGGACCAGAATGGGGTGAGTCCCGTCTCCCGCCTCCTGGACAAGTCCCGGGGCCAGACCAAGTGCCAGGAAACCCGCGCCTTGGATGAAATGCATGGCAACAACCGCTACCCCACGTCGTTTCCAAACAACCCGTGCGGCTGGAACCGTTGCTTCGTCTTCTTCACCTATTACGCCCCCTGCCTGAGAACCTGCCTCAGCTTGAAGGACGACCACCGCATCCAGGAACTCATGGACGGGATCTTCAGCGCCATAGATGAAGACCATCGCGCCTTGGCCTTCCAGGAGGTTTTCGATCAGGACATAAATCGGGGGAAGCAGATTGTATGGAACTCATGGCAAATGCTCTGTAACATGCCCATATACCAGTGCGATGACCAGGGCTGCCAGAGCTGCGAGGAGAAGGACGTCAACAAGAACTCCTGCCTAACAGCAGTGAAAAACCCAGCCACGCCAGCCCCGAAGACAGCCCATGAGTGAGGGCATGAAGGTGGGAGGAGAATGTAAGCTGCAATGCAATCAATCAACAACCAACCCATCCCTCCGTCAACCCATCCATCCATCTGTCCTTCAACCTATCCATCCATGAACCCATCCGTCCATCAACCCGTCTACCTGTCAACCCATCCATCAACCCATCCACCAATCCTTCCATCCATCAGCATATCCATCCGTCAACCCATCCGTCCATCATCCTTCAACCTATCCATCCATCTGTCTGTCAACCCACTCATCCGTCAGCCCATCCATCTGTCATCCCAGCTGTCCATGCCTCTCACATACCTCCCCTTCTATTTCGCTATCTCATTTCAAGGTGCCCATTCCCTGAGTATCTGGGCACTGGGTTTGGCCTGTGATCTCTTCTCCCTCTCTCTCTGTATCTCATTTCCAGGGTGCCCATGCCCCTGGTATGTGGGCCCTGGGTTTCCCCTAAAAATTTGCCTCCCTTTCCCAGTCCAGCAGATGCACTTTCTCTGCCATATGAGCGACACCAATAAAGCTTCAGAGCAGTCCTTGGCCTCACATCTCTGTCTGTGTGTCTGTCTCCTTCCTCTCTGGAGATGCCAGCTCCCCTGGGATCGCCCCTCTGCAGACTGTATCACCCCCCACCCTCCAGACTGCAGTCCCTCATGCTCCCTATGCCTGCCCCACACCACCCCTAAGGGAGCTCCTAACCCCCACTCCTCACAGCCTGCACCCGAGATACCCACAGTACACGTGATGGGGTGAGTGTTTTCCACATCCCCATGCCAGTCCTGCTTCCTCACCTCCTGCTCCACTGCTGCAAGCCTTGTCCCTCACCCCCTATGCCATTCCCAGGAGATGGAGAACCTGGACTCCTGGGTTCTCTCCCTGGCTCTGGGAGGGGTGTGGGGTCTAATGGGTCAGAGCAGGGAGATGTGGGCCTCAGGACTCCTGGGTTCTATTCAGGGAAGGAGCAGGATCTAATGATGAAATCCTGGAGACCTCCCCCGTTGCCATCTCATGCCCATGTTAGACAATAGCTGCCCCTTTGCCAGTCCTGACACCTGCTGCCATCTAATGCTCCAGTTTCACCGACTGACAGGGTGAGTTACTCCCAACTTTGGACAGCCTGTCTAATAGGTGACCTCTTTATACTGTATTTGCAAGGGTGCGCCCCATGGCACCACTCCCCCAAAACTGGGCCCCCTCACTTCAGTACCCCTGTTTCTCACCTGGGCACTCCAGAGGGCCCACATGACTTCAGACCCCTGGAAGAGACGAGACCCCTTGGGAGCGATCCACCCAGCAGGTTGTCACATCCCGGGATGCAAACCAGACCAGTGAGGGGTTGTGTCACCACCTGCCATGCAACCTTGGCTGCCTCAGTTTCCCCCTCTACACAACAGGTCATGTTTCCCATGGTTTCCCCGCTGTCATAAGCTTGGAGTCTGTACATGTACCAGCCATGGGATAGTGTTACCATGAGGCCTTGTGACATGAGACGTCTCTTCATTCACCTTTTCTATCACCACAAAAGGGCCCACCCAAGAGTGTAAGATTTTGTATTTTTTCAAAGGGCTTATCACCAACGCCAAGTCCCCATTTCAAAAGAGCATTCACATGTGTGTTGGTCCTAGCAGGCCTTTTGTTTAGACTGACTGTCCCTGAGGTTAGTCTGAGCCACGTCCGTCATGGCTCGCCCGCTGCCTCAGTGTCCCCTTCCCAGGAGTCTCTGATGAGATCTAGGTGTCCCCTCACTTTCCTTGCATAGGGAAGATCCCCGTCAATTCTTGGGGCACTTCCCTATAAGCAAACAGGGTAGCATTTCATCCCAGTCTTGACCTCTCTTATTTGTCTACCTTCCCAGCACAGATTTACAGTCCCATTGACCCCCTCCACCAGACCATTTGCTCTGGGTGATGGGGGCGACTTTTAGTTGTTTCACCCCACACAACTCACTGAATAGCTGAGACATGACATGTAACCCACGGTCAGATCAAATCTCTTGAGGGGAAACTCACTGCGCTAAAACTAGAGAAAAAGGTTTTGGCCACAGAATCAACGTCTGTTAATTCAAGCGTCCGCCTCAGGCTATCTAGTGGCAAAATCCATCCCCACCAGGATGTATTCTTCCCCCTTTGAGCAGGATGTGGCACAGGGCTCACAATGTACATGTAGAATGCCTCTTGTATCACAGACAAGGGGCACAGGGGAACTTCCTGGGGTCCTGCAGCGCTTTTCCTTCGTTGACATAAGTCACAAGACCCATACTAATTCCTCAACTCTGTCTCGCTGGCCAGTAGAAATGTCCCTTTAACCTCTCATGGGTTCTCTGGGCCCCTAAGTGACCAGCAATGGGACAATCATGTGCTAGCACCATTAATTCCCCACAGTGCGGGGTGGGCCCAACCAACTACTTATAGGTTTTTTTCCTTAGGAACCTCCCTATTCAGTCTCCCGTCTGCTTCAAAAAACATCTCCCCATTTTCTCTTCCTGGGGCCCCCTCTGGGACTTATGCTCTCTACAGTGGGGTCTATCCTTTGTTCATCTGCAAAACACTGGCAGCTGATATCTGGGACAGCACCTTCAGTCACAGGGGTCACCTCCGCCCCGGGCCCCGAGGGTGCGCAGCTTTTCTCTGCCATGCGGGGGCTAACTTCAGCCCAACAAGCATCCCAGCAGGGATCCCATGCAGCACCCCAACTGTCCAGGCACCTCTAAACCTTCCCATTCCACAGGCACCTTGGCTAAAGGGATGGGGATTTTATGGCGTCCTGCTACCAGAAGCCCCACCGTTTGGTCAGGTAACCTGTCAGTCTTTTGGACCTCGCTTCCCTTGACCAGGGAGAGCTGGGCTCCGGTGTCTCTCCGCCCCATGCCCTCCTTGTCATTTACTCCAGCAACCTTAATAAATTCCATATCCACCCCGCAGGGTAAGTCCTAGTAAAACGCACCAGGAGAACTGCAGGGACCTCTGGGGCTCCTGTCTCAGGGACAACTGCACTAACATGGGGCTTAGTTTCTTTTAGCTCAGGGCACTGATTTCTCGGGTGCTCAGCAGAGTTCAAGTGAAAACTACTTTTTGGACTGTCCTCCTTCCCTGAGGACTGTCCCCCCTTTCCATTGGGTTTGTGCCCCTCCTTCTGTGGCTTGTGCTCATTGGACGTCTGGGGTTGCACAAAGGCATCCCCCAGCGTGGCCATTTTTTGCGCAGATTTTAAAGATTTATCCTATTCTCTATTCCTAATCTCGTCAGTGCATATTGTGACAGAGTCACAGGTCCGACGCTCTGGCACTGCTCTGTATGAAGCCAGGCAGGATTCTGGGTAGCGTGACTCCCCTCAGGGCTCGCTGTCCAGGGCAAAAGCCTCCTCAGCTACGGCCTTCCTGGTCTGACCTCAGAAAATTCAGCACCCTTGTTCTCACCGTGCACTTCCCCTTAACGCGGCTCCTGGGGAAGCCAGAGGGCCCAGCACCCCAACTCCGCAGTCAACAGTGACTCTCAGCCAGCGTTGCAAAACACAAGTGTTTATTAGTCAACAGGAACACAGCATAGAACAGAGCTTGTTAGCACAGAAATCAGGGACTTTCAGCAAAGTCCGTCTTGAGGGGACTCCGGGCCAGATGCCCTGGACTCCCCCTTTTCCAGTCCCCCACAGCAGACTGCCCTGGATCCTGCTACCTGGCCTCCCACATGACCATTGCTTCTTCTCCAGTCTTTGTCTCGCTTCCTGGGAAAAGTGTCATCTGGTTGCATCCCCCTCCTAGGTCTCAGGTTACGAAGGTCATCGGCCATTGCTTACTGGGAGGCAGCTGGGCAGCCTCACCTGCGCCGAGGGCCTCCGCGAAAGTCACACACCCAATTCCCACCACGTAGGCATTGGTGCAGTACATAGGGAAACTGAGGTACACACAGAATTAGTATAGGATGGTAAGACTCACATGCAACATTACAAGGTGAAAGTCCGCACTTCGTCTCACATATACTTAGGAAATATTCTTGAGCCAAGACATCAAACAGTTGGTTATAATCCTCAGCCACCTTCCCCTTTACCTGTTTTCTCATTAGATCACACATCTTCCGGGCACATTCACTATGACTCACGCCAGCACTTTTCTCGAGATTTCTAAATCTCAACCTGTGCACTTCAGGAGTAATTTGAAACCTTTGTAAAACAGCGTTCTTAAATTCAGAATATTTCAAAGCGTCCTGACTTGGCATTTCAGTAAATACATTTCAAGCTTTACCAGACAGTTTTGCAATCAGTGTGGGGACTTTCTCGTCCTCAGGAATGTTATGAACCTCACGTAGCCTTTCAAAAGTGGTGAGGGATTCCTCAGGGCAGTCTGGCTCTTTGTCTGCAGGACAAAGCTGAGGGTTCCTTGAGTGGAGGGAGATGTTGGTGACTCTCCGGAATCTTTTCATGTTTTTCTATCAGCTCCAGGTTGTATTTCCTCTCTTTCTCTTCAGCCCCTCTGTCTTTCAGCCCCATGACTCCTATGGGCTTCAGCTTCTTGTTCTCTCAGCTCCATGACTCGCCTGTGGGCGCTTCCTCTGCTTCCAGTGCAGCAAATGCTTCTCTCAGTTTCATTTCTGCCTGCCATTTCTGGAGTTCCCGTTCTTTCTCCCTTTCTTCTGCCTCCAATCTGGCTAACTGTAGCTTTGCAGCTGTTTTGCTGGTGCTCATTTTGAGCTTTACTTTTTCTAGCTCCCTTACCTGAAATAAGCAAAGAGAAAACAACAAACTGTAACCTCCCTTTGACTGTTCCCAGCCGCCACACCTGAGACTCACTTAAAATAGCTATGCTAGTGCTTAAAGTGTGAACCTCATCTGAAACAACAGGCTGTGCATACACCCTGCTTGCTGCGCCACTGGGACATACCCACTCTGGACAAACAGCTGTGTCCCCTCATCTCTGTAACCTGTTGGGTGACCAGACAGCAAGTGTGAAAAATCGGAATGGGGGTGGGGTGTAATAGGAGCCTGTATAAGAAAAAGACCCAAAAATCGGGACTGTCCCTATCAAATCGGGACATCTGGTCACCCTAGTAACCTGGGATGCCTTTTGCACTGCTGTGCTGTGGTAGCGACCACTCCTGGTCTGCTCACACCCAGCCTCCAGCAGGTCAGTCACTCCCAGTTATAGTGTGTGAGTGCTGCCAGCCACTC